CGTGATTTTTTTATAACAGATACTTCGTTTGTACATAATCTTTCACTTTGCGTTTATTAATTTGGTTAAATTTTTTGACGTTAGTTTTAGTGTGGTATTGAATAGATTGATTCCTTCATAGTTTTCCGGTTCTTTTGTGTCACATTTCTTAATAATCAGGATTAAAACGATTATTTTTCATTATTTAGGTATTGTGTTGTATTGTAATATTTTGTTTAGCTGTGCTAATTGATCTGTCATCATTGTTCCGCAATATTTTATTACTTCCTTTGATATTTCGTCCATGCCTACAGCTTTTTTTTCTTGTGCTTCCCTTACTTTCACTGTGCAATTCTGGTTTGTTCTTGAGTTGTAATTTCCGATACTTCTGGTTCTGATAGTGTTCTATTCTTTTTTTCATTTTTTGTCTCTGTTCTCTTATAAATCTCCATTTCTATTTGTTTATTTTTAAAGTATAAATGTTTATTAGGTAACCGGATACAAAAAAAAACAATTTAACAATCATGACAATTATTTGCTTCTGTTGAAGCTTCTTCACAGCTCTCAAAAGGTATAATATTATATTTTGCTTACTGTTAGTTTCTAAATGACCTCTAGCACTAGTAAATAATATTTTTTACATGTATGTACCGATACTTATCTAAATTATTTAATGGGAGTTAACCACAATTTTAGTTGAAAATGCGTTTATTTTGACGTTTCGATTTCTACATCCGTGATCGTTCTCAAAATTCAAATCAAAATTAAATTAAAATGTACTACTTAAATAATTTTAAAATTAACATCTATTAATTTTTAACATTTTTATATATTGCATAACAAAACCAGAAATTGCTATTAAACATTATAATTCGAGATAAATAATACAACTTTTACGGTTATATTATACAAAACCATATGTTTAATATGGCAAATAGACATTCGTGGCAGTATTACCTGAACTTATGTAATATTTTGACAGAGAACACTATCTTTATATATATACCATGAATCTACCAATCGAGAAATTAAAGCAATTTAATAGTAGACAGTAGCTTTCGTAATTCACCGGTTACTCAATGCTGCTTTTTGTTACCATTTCCCCTTACAGATAAATATCCGTAATTAAAATGATATTTTGTAATCAGGTTATTCTTTTATGTTTTAGTAAATAGAAAATCTGTAAAAATTTCCTTATTACAACGCTTTTTGTTATTATGGCAGGAAGGTTTTTACGGGACCAGAGAATATGTCAAAGTGTGTATTTTCTTATTACTTCTTAATTTTTATTCTTTAATGAGATATTGGATATTTTAAACTGCCCTGTTCGGCTTAAGCCACCATTTTACCTCTTTCCATGTTCTGTTATCCTACTGCTGATTTATCACAAGGAACTTCACCACACTCCCTTCTCAATTTCAGTTAATATGTTTATTCCCCTTATTTTTTATTTTTAATAAAGTCTTATACCTTGCCTTTATATCTTATCGTTTCGCTTTTGTTTTCTGCCTAGGTTTCCTTTAAAATATTCTACAAAGTTTATGTTGTTTCCATAAGTGTTATGGATTTTAAATGTTTTTGATCTAGTATTTGCATTATATACCATGATGAGCCTTATAGTCATCTTATAGCTTATTGATTTGGTCAAAATGCTTTTTTTTGTTTCATTACATTCTATCGTTTAAATATCTGGTCATTTTTGCTGCTTTTATTCAGACACTAACTGACAGCATTGTTCTATGGAATATATAGTTAGATGCAGTGCGTTAGTTCCTGTTTAGAATTTTGTAGTCCTCTTCCAGATTTGTAGTTGATATATAAGTTTTATTATGTAGAAAACTCGTCCCAGTAAAGTGTCTTTGTTAGAGTGCAGCATATATCTTGAATTGCACGAGGTGACTTTCTGAATCGGAAAAGAGAGAAACTGTTTAGCGTTGCATTTTCCGTTTGAGGTAAAAACAAAAAAAAAATAGTAGTAGGCAATTTTTTACTAGAGGTTGCTATAAAAATAGTTGCGGCTATTTCCTCAGGGTGAAGAGGTATCATTGTAGAAAGAGATTCTCTCTCTTTAACCCAACCCTAACCCCCGGAGGGATTGTAGTGGACATCGTGATGTCGTGTATTGTCCATCCCCAAAGATCTCTACCCATGCATAGATATTTTTGCGTATTCCTGAATTTGATCAATCCATCTTTTTTGGGATCTTCCTCGTGAATCTTCGGCCTTCTATCTTTCCTTGGATAATAAGTTTTTCCATAATTTCTATATAGTTTTTTCATAATTTCTATGTCTGGTCGTTTAATATATCCAAAATATTTTAATTTTTGGAGATGAACTTTACTAAATAAAAATTAAAATCCGTAAAACGACGGATTTCCTATCTTCAAACGGATAGGCACCACAAGAAGATATGTCATCTAAAAAAAATTGAGCTGATTTATTTGTTATTCTTTTTGTTATTTTATTTATTAATAAAATATGCATCATTGATTTGACGAAGGCATTTGACAGAGTTCGCCTGGAAGACATTCTAAATATATTAATAGAAAATAAAACACCGACCAGTATAACAAAGATACTCCATAAACTAAATAACAACAACCTAACCAAAGTTAGAGCAGGAGACGAATTCACTGAAAATATTTCAACACCGGGAGGAATTAGACAAGGCGACAGTTTAAGCCCCTTCTTGTTTAATCTTCTCATGGGCAAAATTATCAACAAAGTAACATCTCTTAATCTCGGATATAGAATGGGCAACAAAAGAATTGGTATGGTGTGTTACGCAGACGATGCAGCAATTATTGCCGAATCAGAAGATGATCTCCAAAGGCATCTCTTTCAGTTCTTTCAAACAAACCGACTACTAAATATGAACATCTCTACCAACAAAACTAAATGTATGACAATAGCAAAAGATCCGCTCAGATGTAAGTTAGTGGTTGAGGACAACCCCATAGAAGAGGTGATGCAATTCAGATATCTGGGCATAGATATATCAAGCACCCACGACCCAGTAAAGGACCTGAGGAGTCAGATCAACAAAGCATCTGCACTGTCAGGATGTCTGCGGGAGATAGTCTGGTCAAATTTGTATATGCGCACAGATAGTAAAATTAGAATCTATAAGACTTGCATACGACCGATCATGACATATGGCATAGAAGTGCGCGAAGATACTAACAAAACGAAACAGATGCTAAGGGTTGCCGAAATGAAAACCCTAAGAACAATAATGGGGAAAACAAGAAGAGACAGAGCGAGAAATACAAACATTAGAGAGCAGTGCAAAATTCAAGATATTGTAAGATGGGGAAGGCAGCGCAAGAGGATGTGGTACAACCATGTAACACGAATGGATGAGAATAGACTCCCAAAAATTGCCCTAGAAAACAATCCGCCCGGTTCAAGACCTTCCGAAGACCACCTAAAAGATGGAGGGATAGTTGGCAATCTACCTCCCAAGAAATTAACCAGAGGCAGCTTCAGAATTAAACAGATCGAAAGATCTACAAAAAGTAGAAGAAGATTTATTAATAAATTAAAACGAAATGGACTCAGGACTTTGTTCAATTTGCCTATTTTTATGATGATCGGGCTGGTTTTCTTCTCTTTTTAGCAGCCCGATTACATCGGACAGTCGTACCTTGTTATGTTTTACAACTAGTTCAAGGACGAAGTCAACATATATTCTGACTCTTTAGATTCAAAAAAGAATTAGATTTGTAGGTAAAATATCGATAACATTAATCTCTTTTTATATGACTTTATGAATTATTTATAAATGTTTAAAATTTTTGCAAATGTTGTTAACTTGAACTAAATTAGAATACTGGAAAACCAGTAGTTATAAATTATAAAGATAAAATTGTATCTATATCCTTTTGGATATTTATAACTATAAGATATTATGTAATTTTTTAGTCATCTTAATAACGAATGGTCTATCTTGATACCCTTGGCAGTTTTTAATAAAAAAATTAAGTGCAAACATTTTTAAAAAATAGTGAATATTATAATATACTTCATAATTGACCGTGAAAGTATGTTCTATAAAACTATGTATTTGTGTTAAATTGTCGGTACTGCATTAAAACTCAATTTATTTCTAGATTTCGATATTTCGTTGATTATTTATTTTTACAACTTCATCAGGAACACACTACAAAATTAATTAACAATTAGATACAAAAACAAAGTTCACAACATTCTAACTTACGAAATGCTAAATTTTATTTTATGGAGCCAATTATATCCGAGAGACGCATTTTATTCTACATACAAGACAGCACCGATTTCGGTCTGTTTATTCACATGTGTCATTAGGCCCAACGTCAATACATGTCGCTTAACTTGTAAGTATCTGTATATTAATTGACCTTTGGTTTTTGTTGATGTGGTACATTTCAAGAAATAGTATTTTTTTATAGTTGATTTCTATGTCCAAGATTGCATCTACATCTGATGAATTAAATATCTGGCTTCTTCTGTTCGAATGGTGTGCTACTGCAAAATAATTTTTCTTTGTTTTGCTATTACTTTTGTGGTGTGCTATTTTTTGTTTTAGTCAGTGCGATGTTTGTCCTATGTACTGCCATGACATTTGAGACAAAAAAGTTGGTAAATGAGATTATTTTGATTTAGATGAATTATCTGGTCTTTAAGCTTCAAGAATAAACTGTAATTGAATATGATGTTACATTTAGTTATTTTAATTAGCAGTTTCATTCAGTAGCTTAATTATATTGTTAGTTAGGCCGTTTACATAGGGTAACTTTTTGTACATAACGGAATTTGTTGATCTGTTTTCCCATTGCCCCCCATAAAAGTCTAAGTAAAAGATTAGTTGCTTGAGAATTTATATAATATATAGAACACATGCAGTACAATGTGGTGGAAATGGTACTATAGAATCATCTTCATTATTTACAAATTTTGCGTTACATCTTTTAAGTTTTCTGTTATCTTCATTCTTCGAGTTTTAAAAACACATTACTAATTTTTAAATTATTGTATTTTAGATTTCCCTGGAATGTGCTTTGCCTCCACCAAATGCGCAACAGTTGAACCAGGTAAATCATGGGACCTTACACCATTCTGCGGTCGCTCAACCTGCGTTGTTTCTGAAGACAAACCACCACGTCTATTGGAATTGGTAGAAGATTGTGGACCACTTCCTTTGGCTAACCCCAAATGCAAACTTGACGAAGGTATGTACGATTCAATAAATGATATATTTAAAAAACGAAAGGTAAAATTAAAGCGGAATTCAGGATCTAAAAATTAATTACTATTATTAGTTTAAGAGGGTTTTTTGATGTCTTGGAATGTAAACTTAAGCATTAATTTAAGAGGTATTGCTTTTTTTTGAAATCAATAATATAACATCGGATAAGAGGTAATACAAATTGTGGATATGACAAAATAATTCCTATAATAATGGTGTGCTATAATAGTGGTCATTGGTTTAAACCAAACACCAGCAATAAATTTTCCAAGACACTTGTACAAAATAAGGAGTACCTACTTTCCTACTTACATATATTCTATGCCTGGAAATACACAAACCTCACTTAACATATACACCGTTGTACGTAGATAAAAAAGGTAAAATTAAATTAAATTATAAACGATTAAATTAACATTAGGTCTTCTCACTATCGAAGTATTACTTGACTAAAATAGGCAAGTCGGAAAATCAGTCAAATCAAACAAATAGGCAAATCAGGAAAATGTGTCGTTTATGCAAAAATAAAAAAAAAGTGCAACGCTGGTTTATACAAAAACATATAAAGCTGATTAATTTAGCCAGATTGCGGCATTCAAGATTTCAAATAAAGTAAAGCTTAAGAACAAAAATCGTGCTAAGGACATGGCTTAGTCCTTAGCCATGTGAAAAAAGGCTAAGAACATAAATATATCACCTTTTTATAATCCCTAATTAATCTTTATCAAATTAGCACAAGACCCAAGAATCAAAACTTGAGAGCGCTGAAGGTCGTCAAAGTTGTTATTTGCTACAAAAATTTAATGGCGTTAGTTAGTTCTCACGGATGATATTACCTAGTCAATACCACCAAGACAAAGACCACTTACGAGTGTAATTGAATTTTCAGCATATAATCACCGGAGGTATTTGCTCTGTATTTGAGATTAATTCTAAAGGTAAAAATGGTTTCTTTAGGAAAATCAGCATTTTTTTCTTCATAAAAGAGGTCTACATTTTTTTTTACAAGACAAGATTTAGTTAAGACATAAAAGGATTTTCGGAATCGATGTTTCCGAATTAGTGGTCATTTAACCTCCATCAAATCGAGTTCAAAGACATTTTAAAGTTTATTTGAAGTAACCGGCAGGTCATGTCAATGTTAGATTGTGAATAAATATAATCTAAAAATGTTTATTAAATGTAACATCGCTTTTAAAACAGCCATCAAAAGATCACCGTCAATGATACTCAAAGTTTACAATATACCTCATATGAAGCAACATAGATGATTGATTCTTTCAAAAGAAAATACATCACCAGAGGAACAATCATCTTATCGTTCACTCTGTATGCAGGATACAGCTGCCAAAATATTAGAACAACTACTACATCAATAACACGAAGCAGCAATTAAAAGGCTAGCGCTGCTCCACAGCAATCAGTATAATTTTCGAAAAAAATATTCAACACTAGCTGCGATTAATCTTTTCGTTAACACAACTAAGAAGGCGATTGCAGGGACCAGATGGAAGAGAGGTACAAAGAAGTATTATCTGGTGATAGTCTCGTTTGAAAAGTCATGAAATTGACTCTATAAACTGGAATTGCATTATGCAAGCTTTAACTGAAATGAGAGTACCGGTATATCTAAGGAGACTAGTGACTAGCTACTTTACAGATCGACTTTTGCAGTATGACACAAAGTATAGACCAAAGGAATTTAAAATCACTGTCGGAGTACAACAGGACTCTGTGTTAGACCTTCTTTTGTGGAATATTATATTTAATGAGTTGCTAAAGCTAAAATTACTAAGGGATACTAGGCTGGTGGCATATGCCGATGACGTGGTTGTGGTGATCGTCGCAAAGCACCTTGAGGAAACAAATCTCACGTTCGACATCATGTTTGAGAGAATCTTCCAATGGATAAACACAGTTTATTTAAAACTAGCAAAACACAAAACTGAGGCTGTGCTTATTACTAGTTGGAAAGATTAACTTATTAATTAGTAGAAACCGTAACCAATATATTGTATAAGTCACTAGTATTTTTCTTAAAAAAATCTATATATCATTTGTTGATATTTATTTCTTATTTCAGAAAAAACCAACAAAACTGCACAGTTCCCTTACTGCTGTCCACAATTTAGCTGTGAAGAAGGAGCCAAATTAGAATACCCAGAAATTCCAACCATTGCACCTGTCCCGGAAGAACCTGCAGCAACTACAACCAAAGCTTAATTTTTATAAGCAACTAAATTTTCCTTGTTATTTTTTCTCCCTTTTATACTTAAAAACTGATTAAAAAAGCTCACAGACAATATTTTCATCAAAATGTAGTAAAAATTTGGTGTCAAAAAGTATACAGTTTAAGTTCTATTGCGTAGGCACCAAAAAAAGCTGTTAGAAACAATATGAAGTAACTTACGTATTAAAAAAAAATTGTTAAATATTTAAATTATTGCAAAAAATGTATCTTCAAAGTTTATTCATTGTTTCACTAATTTATAAACACGCTTTGTAATACTTGCCTCCATTTTATTTTTCATTGTTTACGTTACTTTTGTATTTTTGTAAACGAAATAAAGTAAATTAAACAGAAATCGTAGATTTTTATTGGTACCAAAATAAAATAGACTACACATTATTAGTCAAAGTAACTGTCAAAGTGGTTTTAGTATTTTATTTTCCCTCACAAAAAATAATTATTTTTGGCAGTTTTATTTTTTGGTAGATTCTAGACTTGTTTCTACCTTTGAAGGCATCGGACCTCGTCGTGTCGTTCCTATCCTTAAACCCGGAAAGGATCCAAATATTGTGAGTTCATATAGACCAATATCCTTACTCTCGTGCGTATTCAAAACCCTAGAAAGGCTTATAAAATTTAGATTAGATTGGTGGATACAAAAAGAGAATTTATTACCAGTAAACCAGTTTGGCAACAAAAGAGGTTTTGGAACTCAAGACGCTTTAACAACACTTGTTGTTGATGTACAGAACAACTTAACTAGGAATAACTATTTAGCCGCCCTATTCTTGGATATTGAAGGAGCATATGAATCAGTTTGTTTGTCAATATTGAAATTCAAAATGGTAAATTTCTTTCATTTGCCAATTGCTTTCGTTAACACAATTATCGGTTTCTATACAGACAGGGTAATCTACGTCAGATACCATAATAACAAGCTAATAGGACCTAGACACAACTATCACGGCATACCACAAGGCTCGGTATTATCGCCAATTTTATTTAATATGTACAGGTCTGACATACATAATATGCAAATAAACAACATCATATTTAAAATAATACAAAATGCAGATGACTTTTGTATCTATACAGAAAGTAAGAAATATGAAAACGGTATGCAAAACCTAGGTAGAGTATGTAGTTCTCTTTTCCCATGGTACTTAGAGAACGGCTTAAATTTATCAATTGACAAATCAGCAGTATCTGTCTTCACAAGACACAACCTTCCTCCAAATCAAAATATACTTCTTGATAATCAATCTTTTACATTCAAAAACCATATCAAATATCTGGGCCTTATACTGGATAAAAAATTGACTTGGAAACAACACATACAATATATGCTGGATAGATGCAACAAAGGTAGTAATTTTCTTAGAATGACAACCAAAGTGTGGTGGGTTTGCGATGTTGAAACATCCTGATTGTTTTACAGAGCTTATATACGATCCATTATAGATTATGGTGCTACTCTTTACTGTTCTGCATCTAGAAATCTTCTAAGAAAAATTGACATTTTTCAAAATTCTGTCTTAAGGGTCTGTTTAGGTGCTATGAGATCTACCCCTATACAACCACTACATGTTGAAGCTTATGAACCTCCTCTTTCGATTAGAAGAAATTTATTAAGCGAAAAATGGGTACTCAAAGCCCACTCAACATATCCCAAATTATTTTCCAGTATACGTCAACTTAACGAATCAGATCTCACTCATAAATATTGGATTAAGAAGCCGTCTCCACCTTTGTGCACTGCTTTACAGAACAATTCAATTTTTCAAAAAATTTGGCCAAAGTGGAAAAAAATTTAGACTTCTTTGCTCTCTTCCATAAAGCTGAAGTTATAATACCCACATATAGTCACAACAACAAATTGAGCAACAATATTCTGAGATCTGTTTTGAACTGTTATAGTGATGCCACAGTTATATACACGGACGCATCCAAATCAATAGAAGGGACTGGCTGTGCCTATTTTCTACCTTCAGGAGGTTCTGAATTTAAGTACAAACTTTCCAAGGAGTTTTCAATTTTCTCGGCGGAATCATTGGCTATACTCGAAGCTTTGAAATACGTTAAAAACTCTTATATTAAAAAATCGTTAATTCTTTCAGACTGACTTTCAGTTCTACTGAACATAAAAAACACTTTTTTGTCCAAAACATTTAGTAATCCTTATATTTTTCTAATAAAAGATCAATTAAAGCACTTAGTAGACTCTGGCTTTAATATAAAATTTATTTGGTTTAAGGCACATATTGGACTCAAAGATAATGAATATGTAGATTACTTAACTAAAACCAGTATAATATCAGGCACTTTATTGCCATATTCTTTATGTGTATCAGATGCCATTAGGATATTTAAAAAAAAACCAGCTAGCGACATGGAAAGATCAATGGAATCTTTACTGCCTTACAAACCAAACAAGATACACCACTTTACAACCAGTTATTCCACAAACTACTTGGTTTAAGAATTTTAAATCTCCACGTAAATATATAACCACCATAAATAGACTACGCTTTGGACATGCGTGTTATCCAAGTCATTTATATAAAATAAATGTGATTGAAGATGATAATTGCAAACATTGCGGAAAACTGGGTGATCTTGATCACATCTTTTTTGAATGCCCTAAGTTTCAACAGCATTCAAACTCTCTCTACAAAAAATTAATCGAATTTAATATGTATGCACCATTTAATATTCAGTCGCTACTGGCGACAGGCTCACAAAAAATATATAATATCATTATAGATTTCTTGTCAGACACATGCATGGTTCTATAGAATTTGTACTCGAGCATGAAATTTTTCATGATCGTGTGGAAATTTAGATTTGTATCCTTTGTTTACCCTAAATGTTATAACACCTTATCCGTGGTCCAGTTTTGTTTGTCTACTAAGAATGTCTTGATGGGCCCCTAGACGAGAAGCAAGTGACCCTGTAAGTTTCCTTGTCGTATATTCTTCTATTAATAATTATCCGTTAGTTTTCGATTAGGGATAGAGTTGTGCATTTGTCTGATTGGAGAATCTATTGCAACTGGCTGAATGACTAATGTCAATGCCATTAAAAAAAAAAGACCTCGTCGTGTTTTCAATGCAGTTTTAACAATACATACAAGTTTATAGCAATTAGTAAAAAATTGTGTTTTGAAGACAGGACTATTCTATAGCCAAATTTTTTTTCTAAATCAACTATTTGTCTATCTAAGTTAGATTTTAAAAAGTTTTTTTGTTGTTTTAAACCGTTTTGATGTTGTATTAATTTATTTCAATACACAATTTAATTTTTCAAATTGTTTTTTATCATTTTGTTGTTCTATTTTATTTTCTAAAATATTCTGTTTCTGAGCAGCAAACATTAAATTTGATCTGGCTATTCCATTTTTTTTAATGTCGTCCACCTATCTTATATCTGGTCTTACTTTTGTTCGTCTATATAGGGTCTCCAATGTTGTATAGTGGCGTTCCAACGTTGGTCTTTTTGTCTAGCAGTGTGACCTGCGATGCTCCATTTGCGTTTGGCAATTTTTGTTGTGATATGCTCAACTTTTGTTTTTTATCTTACCCAGTCGTTCCTATTTTTATCTGACAGTCGTATACCTATCATTGCCCTTTCCATTGTCATTTCTGTTGTGGCTAGTTTATTCATATTTGCCTTGGTTAGGATCTAAATCTATATCTCGAATCTATTCTATAATTATTAATAGCTTGTTCTATAGTCCACATCTCAATACTATCAAATGCTTTTTATAGTCAATAAAGGCAATAAACGGGTAGTTCTCATTGTCAGCAAATGGTCTAAAGTACTATATCCTTTGCGAAAGCCAGCCTGTTCAACCGGTAGGTAATTATCCATTTTTGCAAGCCTGTCGTTCCAGTTTTTAACGATTTTGCTAGTATGGAAACATCTATTAAGTAGCTTTATTAGTATAGGAATTGTTACCGTCTTGCTTGTTCTTAAGAGCTCGGCAATTATACCATCGTGTCCTGGAGCTATATTATTTTTTAGATTTTTTAAAGCTCTTTCTATTTCGAATCCCTCTACAGTCGGTAGTACCTCTGATCCCAGGTTTTTTATTTTTCTTTTGGCGTTTTCTTTTGTTGATTCATCATAATGGCTTTGAAAGCTGTAAAGGTTTTGTAGAAGTCCTCCATTACCTTTGTTGTTTTATATTTGTCCTTCAATAGGGGCCTCAACAGATCCAGCAGGCAACTAGCGGAAAAATCTTTACACAAAATAAAATCGAATGGGCCATTAAAACCTTTAAACCTTTTAAATCCCCTAGTAAGGACGGAATATTTCCTGCTTTACTCCAAAAAGGCTTCATGCAAATACAACCGCAACTATAGCGGTTTTTCATAGCAAGCCTTGTATTAGGTCACATTCCAAAAACTTGGAGGTACGCAAAGGTGGTATTTATACCAAAGGCGAGGAAACGTCCTACGGACGAAGCGAGGTCTTATCGTCCTATATGCCTGACCTCCTTTCTTCTAAAAATAATGGAGAAATTAGTAGATTACTACATAAGAAGCGAAACTTAAGCGAGGAAACCACTTCACAAACATCAGTTTGCCTACCAGACTGGCAAATCCACTATAAATGCTCTGAATTCGCTAGTCAGAAGAATTGAAAAGACAATAGTGGCAAAAGAAATAGTTCTTTGCGCTTTCATTGATATATAGGGAGCATTCGATAATACCTCATTTAAATCAATAAAAAGAGCACTAGTAAAGAGGAGCATTGAAGTCTCACCAATACAATGGATTCAGTCAATGATAAAAACGAGAATCATCACTGCTAGTATTGGAGGAGAATATGTGACTATGACAGCGGTAAAGGAGTGCCCTCAAGGGGGAGTATTATCGCCTCTGCTGCGGTCTTTTGTTGTGGATGACCTTCTCACTAAGTTGCATGATTCTGGTTTTATAACCCAAGATTACGCAAATGACCTAGTTACTACAATTTAGGGCAAGCTTGACCGGATTATATCTAGTCTTATGCAAACTGCTCTTAACGAAATTATAAGTTGGTGTTCGAAAGAGGGCTTAAGTGTCAACCCCAGTAAAACGACTTTGATACCTTTCACAAGGAGACGTAAATACAATTTACAGGTTTTAACTATGAATGGCATCACATTAGAGTATTCTAAGTTAAATATCTGGGGGTAACCCTAGATCAAAAACTCACCTGGAATAGTCATATTTAAAAAATTTTATCCAGAGCTTTGGTGGCAAGTTGGACCTGCCGCAAGACGTTTGAAAAGACTTGGGGCCTACAACCGAAAATGACTCTCTGGTCATATAAAACAATAATTAGGCCCATGGTCACATACGCATCATT